CGCAGGACCACATAGTTTCATGTGGGCTTTGGTGGCAAAGGTGTGATAAAGGTAGCTCGACACACGATCCGTCTACAACTGTACCTTACCCACTTCTTTAGCGCCACTACGAAGCATCTCATCAAGCAGATTGTCAAAAAAACCAACAATTGGGCATGTTTGCAGAGCATGGCTTGCCTTTAGAGTCGTAGGAGGCAAGGACAACAGACAGAGTCTGGCCGGTAAAGGTACCCTAAGGCCCAAATGACAAGCCTCGTTTAGACGAGCACTTGCTTTGCGGCATTCCTGTTCAGAGAAATGAACTTTCGATACAATCAGTCAATCTTCATTAAAAAGGAGGGGTAGTTGAATGTTCACACGTTTCCCCATTATTTCGCTTAGACCTGCTTACAAAAGGGGTATTATTATCCTGGCTGGACTTGACTGCTCATTTCCTATGAATATCAGCAACGTAGATAAGTAAAAGGGCAAATTACATTATATAATTGTCACTAAAACTACTCACCATGTATATAAGTAGTGTCATTGACGTTACTGGTAAAAACAATTGTTAAGCTTAGTTCCATTTGTAGTAAAAGTGCTTGGTGAAGAGGTTCGAAGGTGGATTCCTCTTGACCAGTCGTCGATTGGCTTTACTGGAACATTCTTGTTGACTTCCGGTGAAAACGTGCCGACCTTTCGTCAGTTGTAGTCAGAACAGAATATCCCCCTGACGACCATATTCGCCATGCGACCTCAATTTTAGTCGCAGTCTCCCTTTGCTGCATGGAAGTGGTTAGACCTCGTTTTCGCAACTTGATCGTGCTGTCATGGCGACCTAATTGGCCTTATCTTGTCCGAAGTCCCATCCTTTCAGCATCGGAAAGTGGACTTTATACATTTCAGACGTGTCGCCATCCTCGTGGTCGACATTGTTGGTGAATCTTGCCATTCTTGGCAACAAGCTACAACTCGTCAAGGTGGCAATGGAAGTTAATTCCTAAATAAACTTTCTGTCGGAGCGGTTTTGCGATCACTCCTCCCAGGCTATCACAACTTCTGAATTGTTTTTATTCAATTACTAAGCCCATTAAACCCGTTAACAGAAAGGTCGGTCTCTAGAAGAGTCGACTATAAACAAGTCCTAAATATTGAAAAAGACCGTTTGAGAAGAGAGGCTATGGAGTAGAAGGATGCATCAAGACAAAAGGAGGGAGGATAACACAACCATTCGAAAGAAAGTTGATCAAGAAATTGACTTTACCTGACGATTTGACGAGTTGCAGTCTGGTGCTGAGAATGGCAAAACGTCCAGAAATGTACCAAGACCATGCTCCCCTGCGTTGAATGATCATAAATACTCAAGCAGACGACTTCGGGCAGGATGTTTCCAACTAGCCTGCCCCGAGGACATGACCAAGTTGAGAAAATTGGGTCCGACCACTTCACGGAATGTGATACCAAAGGATCGAGAAAGTGTCTAATCCTCTTGAAAAGCAAGGCGAAAAGTTAGTATTTCGCCCACTTTATTCTATTAAATGTGGCATTTTCTCAGAATGCTAATCCATTAGCAAAATGAAGGCCTGAAACTGCGTGCTTGAAAGGATACGTTTTACTGATTCGTCGCTAAACTTTGATTAAGTCATGATGCATGCTTCTGCTTTGCTCTGCTCTGATCTGATTACGCGAGATTATCACACAAGTTACGTACACCCACACATGCATATAAACACAAAAGCACATACACACATGAGCACAGATGCACCAATATCAGTTAATGCAGTTTCTTTATGAACACTACAGCACGGAAAGATGATCAAACTTGTTACAAGCATGCATTCCTTCTCTGATGCTGTGTCTAAACTGGGAGGACAGAAGTAGGCATAAGGATTGCGTCAACCTGTACATATCAAGAAAGATGAACCAAGCCAGACCTCGATGAAGTGACTGTCGTCTTCTGATCGGATCATCAATGCGATCTCTTCGCCACACAACTTCACTCGAATTGAAAGTCAAGTCAAGAGTATTTGCGATTGGAACAACTTCCATT